ACTATTCCAAAGTATTACTTGGAGGAGTAAAAGCAACAAGGAAGCTGAATGTTACATCTGAAGCACCGAGAGAGCATCAGTGGTAGGTGGTTTGGTGGGAAAGAGTAGCCAAGGAGAAAGCTCACTGGAAGGCAGAGCTGTTTGATTGGAACAAGGTTGGATGTGATAGAGGCTGGGGCATAAAGTAAAGTAAAACTATCAACATATTTAATAAGATTTGCAATTTAACAGTTACAGGTCTTAATATCTGCAGCCACAGGAAACCTGGGTCCACCTCTTCAGCACAATCCCCCAGATATTTGATATAAAGTGATGGAGAATAGCTGGATTATCATTTCCAAAACTAAAGGAGCAACGTCTCACAATACAAAATCCAAATAAAGCTAGAGACAGCATTTACCATTTGTTACTTTGACATTATCAGGGATGTGCTGGTAAATTGCTTTGGGTTCTTGAACTGGGCCCTTGGAGTTTTCTGAGTTGCAGAGCAGATGGTAGGTGACATAAATATTATGGGAAAGGCTCTCTCTTTAAAGCACAGGGGAGGGATGCTGCTGGGATGGAAGGGAAATACACCACAGACCCTCACCTACAACCTTGTTTAACAGCATGGCCTGCCCAGGCCGGTACTGTGCTATTTCTTCATTTGACACAAACACGTTAACATTTGCAGTTACTTTTCCAAAGGAACAAGATGCCAGAAAGTGACCGAACAGCTCCATATGCTAATGTGTTCGAGCTACATGGCTCGGAGTACAATACAGATGCCATAGCATAGCACCAAAGATTGATGAGCCTTGGCTTTTACCCATTTTTGCATTATTCTTGACTGCATTCTTGCAGTCTCCTGGATAACTATGCCGTCTGTGAGCTGCAGCAGAAACGAGCCTGGCCCCAGGCAGTTGAGACAAATGATTCTTTGTAGCTCATGGCAATGATGTTAAAGGTGGAACAAATTTCATTAACTAGCAATCAGAGGGGGAAAATACAAGTAATGAGCAATTTTCTGTGTAGAAAGCAAAGATATTGGATTCTAGCTCTTGAAAATAAGTAGCAATACAAGAGGCAAGCTGAAGAAAATACCCAGAGGAACATGCACCAAGACTTTAACCAGAAAGTTTAATGCGAATGTACCTCCTGCACCAGTTTCTCGTTTGCACGAGGCGTATTTTCACGGCTGCAGCCCTGACTCCCCCCAGCTTGGAGGAGTGCCTGGGAAGGGAAGCATCAGGGTGGATCACACAATGGGAGAGCAGAGCTCCATGGCAGCACACGTGGAAAGGTGAGGGAGAGGGAATGATGCCAAAGACTATCCAGCTCTCAGAGCAAATCCTTCACTTCTTCAGTTCCATCCCCAGCAGTGTGCTGTGAATAGGTTTTGGACCTGAGCTGGTGACTTTTCCCGTCAGTTCAGCAAAAATGATTTAAATATTATTGACCTGGCCTCCCATCTCCAGCTCAGCTTAACAGATAAGCAGAACAGCTGGGATTTTGAAAGCTTTCTTGAAGGTAAAGTCTATACTAGCACAGTTTCACTGCTGTTTAGTCTACATTAAAGTTATTTAAATTTTGCCCAGACTCTTTAATAAGAGTTCAAATGTAACTGTTGGGGGTTTTAAATATGTATTTTGAAAATTGGAGCCATCCAAAATATGCAGGGCAGAACATCTCCTGTGTTTATTTTTATTCCTAATCTAGGCTCTGCATCAGCTGTCTTCATGGTTTGGTAGCGTGAAGTACTGGAAGCCTACCAATACATATATATATATATATATAAAACTTCCTTTTTGGTTCCCATTGGTGGAAGGACAGATTCTTTTTCCCTTTGAGTCTCTAAAAAGTCACTGTGCAGGCTAATTCAAGACAAATGTGTACACATGATATCTGAACAACGGATGTAAGGCTCTGTTTGAAGGAAGTATGCTGAAAAGGCCTGCGTCCTTAGGGGTCTTCTGTAGGAGAGAGTGCTGGCAACCACTTGGAGAAAGGATTCTGTTACTGCTGTGGTATTTTGGGCTCCAGACTGCAATGTTTAGAATGTGCTCTGCTCAGACGGTTATGGGAGCAGCCCCTCCACCATGGCAACTAACATATGGCTTTGAGTTGTTGATAATGATCACACGACAGAGAGAAACAGAAGAAAAAGGAGGATGGCCTTGCATAGACAGACCATGACGGTCTATGACTGCATTCTCCAAGGCTGTAACCAGAAGCTATAAATTGCTATATTGCATATTTTCACTTCTCATCTAATTGAAAAAGCAGTGTATACAGTTTTGCAGATGGCCCATTTATTTTGCTGAACTACCCAGAGCTCAAGGATGCTGTTTAGAACTGGGTACATGCACAACAAAAGGCCAGGGGAAATGGGATCTTGATATAATTAATTGTCAGGTATGAATGAGTATCTTTTTTGCAAGGCCACAGCACTGCATTTCCAAATTAATGAATCTTTTGCCACAAAGGCAGAAAAAATATAAGGCACACTTGCTCACAGACTGCCAGGAAGTTTGCAGCACAGTCCTTAGCCTGCTGTTTGGACATCCTTCTTTAGCACTGGACGCTGAGTGGGTTATGGGAGGAAGGATAGGCTATGTGCAGGTGAAGCCCATGGAGGACTTTTCAGCCATACTACACCTGAAGGCATCATGTGCCCTCACAAGAGGAGAGGGACCAGGGGAATTCCAGCACACAGTTCTCTCTGAACCTATTCCCATCCACCCCATATGCCTTGGGAAGCAAGAAACCCTCTGAAACTAAAGCCATCCTGCTCCAACCTCTCCTTTACATACCCAAATATACCAGCTCTGCTGCAGCAGGTGGCAATTTGTGTCAATGCCAGATGACTGCAACAAGGTCCAGTATAGTCTGGGACATCTGAATGCACTGCACTAAGGGAGACCACGAACACCATCACCAGAGCACAGCAATAGACTGGTAAGGGGAGTATTGCTGTCTTCATTTTACACAGAGTGGGCTGAGATACAGGAACATGTTGGGTCTTCTGTCTTTGGTTAAAGACTGGTAACTATACACAGAGATAGCTGCTGATCTCAAAATTCTAGGAAGTATTCCATTGTGCCAAAGGAATAAAGAATTTTTAAAGAGTTACACCAGAAGTGTATTATGATTTTTTTTTTCTCTCTTACTTTCTGTTCTTTTACTTGGAAGACTTCTGTTATCCACCTAGAGATGACAGAGGTAGCAAAGGGCACATGAAGGACCATAGACTATGAAGAGTGAGCAGCCTCATGATGCACACTAACAATCCTTGGTCAAAGATTCTTTATCCAAATTTCTCTCATAATGACAAACAGACCTGAAAAGACAATTCACTAACCAAAGAAGGGCAAAACCAATAATAAATTGAATTCCAGTATGAATTACCTCATGCAATATAGATATAGCTTACAGGTACTATTGTACATTTTGGATAGCTTATCTGAATTGCATCTCCAAACCTTTTTGATAGTGGCTAATCTTTGTTATTAAAATCACTGGATTGCTTATTTAAGTGTGATGCCTACAATAAGAAAAAGAAAAGTACTAGAAAAATACTAAAGTACTAGAAGAGAAGACAGTAAAGTTCTTACTGTAATTGCAAATCCCCCCAGTGACTCATATTTTATAAACTTGAAAATTACTTTTATTTATGTATAATAGAAATTAATTTATACATCGAAGGCAATAAGCATACCCATAGGATTCTTAGATGATGTGGTGTTTATTCCCCTTAGGTATTGCCAGCCAGGTGAGTGATGGGGATAGGACTGCGGGTCCAGGACCACCTCTTGCTCTGCAGCAGATGTGGGTGCTCCTTAGAACCACTGTAGGGACAGAAAACCAGGAGATAGGTCATCTGTTGTGCTGGCCAATGCTAGCTCCAACAGGTGTGTGTTTAAATAAATATTTGATACTGTCCAGGAAATACAGAAGGATTTGTGTATATGTTTCTGTGATAAACTAGTCCTCTACACACAGCTGTAGGAATACAGCAGGGCACAGACTTTTGTTAGTTCTCTTCCCCTGGGCCTGGCTGCAACCAGGCTTTGGCTAAAGGGGACAGCTTTTGAGAAGAGGTTTATTATCACTGAGGTCACAGGAGAGTCACCAATGTGTGTGGGACAGAAAGGGTGGGGGGAGTATAGCAGAGGCTGTGGGATGGCAGGGACAGCACAGGCCTGGTGGAAGGGCTGTGATCACTAAAAAAGCAGCACCCGTGCCTGGTGTAGAACTTAGACCCAGGTTTTTGATGTCCCTGCTGAACACGTACAGCACTGGAGAACTGAGCAACCACAGACAGAGCCATGAGCACAGTGCCTCGGAATCTCCACACCAAGAGAAAAACCCTCCCTGCCAGACTGGCACAGAGCCCTAGCTCAGTACACAGTCCCCTGTAGTGTCCCACAGCCTCTGCACCAAACAGCAGACGAGGTGGGTGACACAGGGCTTCCACCACCCACAGGGCTGCCTGTCCCAGTCTGGCTGACAGAGGACAGAAGCTCATCTTTATCAAGGGGAGAGGGTTTTTCCCCAAATAGTTGTCCTCTCAGGACCCACTCTCAAAAGTGACCTACAAACAATTCTTCCAAAAATAAACCTAGGAAATGAGGTAACTCTGCCAAGCATTAAACCCCATGAATTCATTGCACCTAACACCAATCACTGTGTTCCTGTTGACACCCCTGCTGCTGTCCTTTCCTCTTGGACAGGCTGGGCAGCTGCAGACACAGCCTGGATGATGGCAGTCACATGCAGGGAGCTTCGTGTCCTGCTTCTTGTCAGGCCTGTGGTAGCAACTAGCAACGCAGGGCTGAGTTGAATGGAAGATTCTGCTTCTTCCTACAAGCCTCCTGTCCTTGGGCAGCGGTGCCTATTGCCTCCCCCATTAGCAGTCCTAAGAAAGCCTTGGCAAGAAACCGTCTCTGCTCCTGTCACTCTCCCGGCTCTTTGCCCCAGCGGGGTCTCAGGAGATTGGGACCAGGTGATCCAGCCGGGTCTGGTCGCACCACATCCTGGCAGGGCGCGCTGCAACCTCCAGCAGCGGGAACCGGGATGGGGGGACAGCCGTGACCTGCCGTCGTGCCGGCGATGCCACGGCACCGGGATGCTTCTTGGCTGCGCTCGGAATTCCTGACACACCGGCAGCTGCGGAAACCGCGCGTTTTCTGCGGGAAAACAGCCAGACCCGCGGGGGGCGCGGGGGGCACCCGGCACCGCACCAACCGGGGCCGCTCCGAGCGCCGGCGGCGCGTCTGTGCCCGCGGCCACCGGGTGTCACCGCCCCGGTGAGCGCGGCGGGGCCGGGCCTGGCCGGGCCACCCCCCCGGGCCGGCAGCGGCGGCGAGAAGGGACCGGCGGCGGAGGGGCCGCGGCGGCGAAAGGATGGTGAGCGGGGCCGGGGGGCGGCGGGCGAGCCGGGGCGGACAGACAGCGCCTGCCGGGGACAGACAGACAGACAGGCAGCTCCTGTTGGGGACCGACAGCTCCAGCCGGGGATAGACAAGACAGTCAGACAGGCAGGTGATGCCGGGAGTAGAAAGAAAGACAGACAGACAGGCAGCTCCTGCCGCGGACGGACAGACAGACAGCCAGACAGCCTCTGTCCGTCGCTGCCGCTGGCTGAGCGCCTGCTGCCGCGGGCAGGATGCTGCTGACCAGTGGACTTCGGGGGATTCGGTGCACATCACCCTTGGGCTGCTGCTGCGCTGACAGGGCTAGTCGGGGATATTTCCCCGCCATCTCCAGCGCGGGGTCTGTCTCTGCTAACGCAGAACAGCAGCCACGGCACAGCCACCTCGCCCGCGGGTGCGACAGCCGTGCGTGGCTGCTGTGCCCTCCTCGGGCTGCATCCACGGCACGGCGCATCACTGACCTGCGGGAGCCCCCGGGTCCTTCTCCCCAAAACAGGATGGACTGTTGGCTCTGTTTTGATGAATGCTTGTGAAATGCTGAGGTAAAGGCTGTGCTGTTTACTGAAAGATATAATGGCTGTCAAACATTATTACTTTATGTTTTGCAATATAAAATTAGCGGTGGAATCTGGAATAGGTGGCACATTGGGGAAGCATTTAAAAAATCAGTAATGTATTTTCCATTTCATGTGTTTGTGTTTACAGTATGGATTTATAAACACATGCCTGAAGTCTTTGGTGGTTGAAAAGTATGGTGAAGAAACATGGGAAAAATTAAGGTAATGTGTTCCCAATAATTGTAGTGCATTGAAAGAAAACGCTCAGGAATTCAGCACCAGGGGATTATAATTTCCCATATGTAAATGGCAGCTGATGTGTATCTCAAGTAATTATTAGAAGTAACTAGCAGGGCAAAAGCAAGAGTTTCTTGCCTTGTAACACTTCATACTCTGATACTAATTTGTCCCAATTAATTTGTCATATCAGATAATTAAAGATGACTTTTAGTCTTATAGACAATCGTGCAATAGACTCACTAGCTCACTGTGACAATATTGAGAAGTAATTACACTGAAAAGATGCCATCCTTGATATAAAGCCAATTTAATTCCAGTACTTTCAGAAACACAGCGAAATCATAGAATCACAGATCATCTTGTTCCAACCTCCCACCATGGACAGGGAAGCTTCCACTAGATCAGGTTGCTCAAAGCCCATCCAACCTGTCCATCTCTGGTTTTGTCTTTACTTTATGAACTATATGGTATTTTCCAATATATAAAGATATATAAATGATACTTAAATACATACATATATTGATCTTTGAAGCTAATATAAAAAAAAACAAAACACCAGCCACAGAAAACGAACTAAGATTCTGGTTGCTCTAGTACCCCACAGTATGATGCCTGAATCCTTGAAAGAGTTTACTGCTATACCATAACATAAAATAGCAGAAATGGAGGGGTGAACACCACTATTTAGCCATTTTAAAGCAATTTAATTAATTTAAAGCAATTTAATTTTAATCTTACATCATTATGGGAAGCAGTGTGTTCCACTATAACGCTTGAAGGAGATTAAGGAGTGTTCACAGTAAACAGTGCTTAACAAATGCCAGTTGGGTCACCCAAGCATGTTATATTTCCAGCACTGCTGAGACAGGACTATTGTCTTCTCTGTTGCAGACTGCAGGCTGGAGTCCAGGATTCTTTCTTGACTTTTGAGGTTTACAAAGATGAGATCACAATGCAGCTTGTCGACAAAGCCTGCAAAGTATTAGGTATGTGTCACCATGCTGCAAAAACAAACTGTCCTGGCTCAGGCCTGACACTGCAGCCCAGGTTTAGTCTCCTGTGCCCTTTGGAATGCCCTCCCTGTGTTGCAAATATTCTGCCTTTGCTCTTAGTCCACCTGACAGCATTTCCAAGCCTTTCTTATTAGGTATCTTTATTTTGCCAGGTGTTCCTGCTGACTTGGTTCTGAGAGAGTTTGGAAAGTATTTCTTTGAATTCTGTAAGCGCTCAGGCTATGACCACATGCTGAGGACACTGGGTGGAAATCTCTATGAGTTCATAGAGAACCTGGATGCATTGCACAGCTACCTGTCCCTATCTTACCAGGCAAGTCCAAGTAGTGATTGCTGAGCAGGTATGGGTGGACTCTGCCAGAGTTCATAGCACAAGGAACAGCATCTCATAGTGAATAATGAAAAAACACACTATAACGTGTTCTCCTGTGTTCTGAAACAGATTGCTCCAAAATGTTAGGGCAATTTTTGAGTAGTCCTCAAGGTTAGGTATTATTTAGTACATTGGCTCTAATGCATAGCAGATTTTCCTTCACAGGTGGGAATATTTAATTCTCTGTTTTTCAGCTTATTCATATTATTAAGACACGAATACTTTTGTACAAGTGGAATGCATCAGTATTCTTTATCAGAAAAAGATGCTGAGGCTTTGATTTTGTTTATTTTTTCCTCAGGAAATGAATGCACCATCTTTTAGAGTAGAAAAGAATGAAGATGGGTCAATGCATTTACACTACTATTCAGACAGAAGAGGTCTGTGCCATATTGTACCAGGTAACGAGACAAAATTCAGCTTACTGATCAGCTGGTAATGCAGTTTATGTACAGAGTAATCATATATTTGCAGATACATTTTGCTCAGATTTCAGAGTCTTTTTTCAGCTAAGGACAGGCCATGGAATTGAAGTCCGGTAGAGTTTAGTCTCCAGACACCTAAACTCAGTATTTCCCTACTGCCTGATCACTCCTAGCTCCCAGTAGCTTCCATCAAAATTTATGACAAGACAACCCAGGCCATAAGTGTCCATTCCTGCTACAGAATTCCCTTCCTGGAAGAAAAATTAAAGTTCATGGTGTTTGTTGTGTCTAACTGTTAGTTCTCAGTGACTCATGCTCCTTAGATTACAATGAAGAAATTACAGAAATTACAGTTGATTTGAAGACATTCATCCACCCTGTAGAATGTGCAATCTGTAAAACTACTACTGAACCCTGCTCAAAACTGAATCTTCTACCAGCATTACAGGAATCTCCACAGTTGTACTTGTGCAAGGGTTAAACAGCTATAGATCTGTAAGAGGTGATCATATTCCTTTCTTTCACAGATGATGCTGAATTTAAAAGTTTATCAAGACTTCCCCCTTTATCAAAACTTGTTTCATATTGAAAGCACAGAACTATTTGGAATTTCAAACAGAGCTTTTGATGTCATTGTCCAGTATTTTGCCTAATACCCAGGCAGAAATGAGAGAACTGATTGTACATCTGCATGAAAGACATTTCCTTCCTTTCAAAATAAAATATTCTGCAATGACTGAAATAGATTGTATAGAAGAATCTCTCTAGACTCCCTGCATTTTTTGGGTTAATGGGAATTCGTATTATTGCTATATGACTACTTGAACACATTCTTCAGATATCCTACTGAGCTGCTTCTAGTGAAAATAAGCATTTGTCCTCAGACAAGGCAAAAAATACAGTAACTTTAAAGCTTACCTCCTGTGTTCATATCCTCATCATGGTGGTGATAGTAAGAATGACATACATTGCTTTCTTCTTCCAGAGTCCTTTCGAAAAGTGATTTCTGATGCAGTGAAATTCCACCATGGACCCCCTAAAAGGGAAAATGAATAGGGTTTGTTCTTGGCAATACCTTGTCTTTTGTTTCCCCTTCAGGAATCATTGGTGCAGCAGCCCTGGATTTTTTTAACATTGAGATTTCAATGAAAATAGTCAATCAAACAGAAGAAGAGGAAAGAACTGGGAAAAAAGAACATATTGTTTTTCTTGTCACTCAAAACCCTGTATTTCCATGCAAGGAAAGAAATGAAATTTCTTCCTCACCTCAATGTCTTGTTGACTCTGAAAAACAAAGTGAGAGCCAACTGAATAAAGAGGTATTTTAATGTTCATTATCAATATATTGTTAAAATATATTTAAAATGAAAATTTAATTTCCCTTTGTATTTATTTCAACAGGACCTTGAAAAAGCCAAGAATACAGTGGGAGACAGAGGAAACTCTGTCTGTCCTGTTAAGAAAAGTCACTGGAAAACATTAAGAGGAATAATTGCATTAGGAAAAGGTGAGAAATTGTTCAGAGGGAACTTGTCATCATTTCTGAGTCTCTTCAGTAAGAAAGTCAGTAAGCCTCCCTATCCCCACCCACCCATCCACTTGGAAGTTACCATTTATATTTCCTCTGTGAATTTTCAAAATGTTTCTGGTTAAGTTTCTTTCTGTTAGACATTGATAATCACAGGAAAATTGAAGATAATAAGCATGCTTAGTAATGACAGATACTTAAATGGAATATGACTGTCACTCTTGTCTCTTAAACAGGGCTTTCATCTAAAAAGTATTCTTCTATAAAATGTCATTGTGTGGTGCATTTGATTCTTCCTTTTCATGTCACTTGATTTAAAGATGATGAATTTAAAAACATGTTTCTAATGTGGTAGATGCTACTCCTTTCCAAAATTATCAACTGTAGTAAATTCTGAAAGCCAAATTACTTCCTCCTACCAAAAATCTACTGCTAATCTGGTAATCTCTGTTCATACCTTTATATACTAGAAGTTTATATATATTCATAAAGGGAAAGGATTTTTTTCAGTTTGGATCTTCTGATTCCCCAGAAGGAGTGAGAATCCAGCTCAGTATTGCCAAGCTGTCTAGATTCCGGGAGGAGTGAAAAATCGAACCTGGTATCATCTGGTGCAGTGTCACATGCATTACAAGGGCAGATATATTGAGTAAGAAATTAATATATATTTAAAATAAAATTTTAGAATAGCATTATTACTAAAAAAAAAAATCCCTTAACTATGAATGTGAGAGTTATCAAGAGGCAGACTTTGATAAATGAAAAACTCACATTGACTTCCCCAAAGCAGTAAGACGTCTAAAAGCTGGGTTCTAAATTTATAATATTTTGCACCAGTCTCCTGAATGACTTGAGAATTATTTTCAGCAGAATTTACTAGAGTAACTGTCATAGCCACCTTCTGGGGGAAAGAGAGCACTTGAAATAATCATCCTGTTGATTATTGTGGGTTACTGGAGAATCCAAGTTTATGCTGTGAAGTTCAAAGGTTTTGGTGCTTCATTCAAAAAATGAACCCATTTGATTATTTTACCCATTGTATTCCTTTTGCAAAAGTATCTACTAGTAAGCACAACCTCTGTAGATTTGTCACCATTTTGAAAAAAATCTCAGGGTAAGTAAAATAGAAACGAAACAGTGATTTGGTCTCTGTGGTATGGACTCGAGCTCATTGTATGGGAGACTAAAACCCAGATTATGCTGTTTTTTTTCTCTGTAAGTGTTCCTTAGTAGCTAGCAAAGTGTATTAAGTCCGTTTCCATGCACATTTTTGTGAGATATAGCTGTGTTATATTGCTATGGCATCTGCAAACTCATAGAGCAGCAACGTCTACATTTGTTCACCTATTCTTATTTTTTCCACATAATTTGATGCATCTAGTGCTCTGTGCTTTTTGTGTGGTTAAGTTTTAAACTCTTAGCCAGTTCAGATTAGTTGCTAATCAGATGTGGGTTGAACTGCAGAGCATTTAGCACAGATGTGTGTGTATTTCTGGCCCCACACGCTGCTTGCTTTGTCTTCACTCATTATGATAGAGGGTCCTGTCTCACTGAGCTCTAAAAAGTAAAGTAGTGCAGCCTGATTAAAAAATACGTATTTATCTTGTCACAGGTAAGCTCCTGAGAGGATTTGATCCTGTTTATCCCAAGAGCCTCTGGATTGACACAAAAACATTTTGCAATGGACTTCCTTTCCATATGGTTTTTGACAAAGAGGTAGGACAAGCATGTGGTAAAGGCCTTTAGTTTGCATAAACCAAATAGTAATTTCCCTCTGTTCTGACTGTCCTAGAGTGCACTGCTGTGTGTGCTCTGCGTGCAGTGTACACTCATTTGTAGGATTTGCAGAAGCACTCTGTACAGAGACATGCAATAAGCATAACAGCTGGATCTGGATCATTTCAGATAGGAATCTCCTTTGGCTTTATTGAGTTTACCATGTCTGAAACAGCTACAGATATGCCAACAAGGTTTATTGCAGCAGTCTGTCTGTTACCAAATACTGGGAAAACCCAGCTACCTACTAAGTTGAGCAGTGTGCAACCTCATCTAGAACCCAAAAATCCCTTTACCTTCTGGGGGAGGATTGAGTCTCCTCTCCTGTGCACACATACTGTGCCACCCCTCGGCAGGGCTTCCTGTGGCGGGTTTCCAAAGAGAGGAGAAGGTGAGGATAGGACAGCAGAAGAAAGCAGCCCCTCAGGGAACATGTTTTGGCATCATGCTGATAGAGATTCCAGAGCACATAATCTGCTTCCTGCCACTGCCCACATTAGACAAAATTCAGACTCTTAAACCTTTCAAGATGTCTGGTCTGCATAATTTAAATAAAATTACTAATGTGCAAAGGTGGAAAGTCCTACACCTGTTGTTGGTGGCTAGGTCAGAGCTTCAATAACTGCTGATGAACAGTGCAGGACATTTCTGAGGAAATTAAGAGCTCATGTATGGTCAGCAGGCTAAAAGAGAATAACTAAACCTTTACACACCAATGGTTAAGAGAAAGTAGCCCATGGCATCCATTAGAAGATCAATATATGCCAAGGTGTTTTGGTGTCTTGCTATAAAGGACATTCATTCAGAGCTTTGTAGTAATACACTAACAAGGTAGAAACTTTGCTCAGAAAGAAGCCATGTGCTATAGCAAGACTAAGTGTGTGTACATGTATAAGCAGTGATCAGCTGTAGCTTGGTCTGAACCCAACAAGACACGAATTATAACACATGGTCCATATTTTCTTTTTAAGCTCAGAGTGAAGCAAGCTGGGGTGAGCATTCAAAAGATTGTACCTGGCGTTCAGACCATGGGCATCTCCTTGGATCAGTACTTCAGGATCGTTCACCCCGAAGTACCCTTCACCATCTCCAGCATCCAGAAATTCATCAACAGCCAATTTGTTTTCCAGACTAGAAGAGAGATGATGCCAGAGTCATGGAAACAACGGCCAATGCTAGAGCTGAGAGGTATTTTGCTGTTGTCAATGCGTAAGTGTTCATATTAAATCAGGAATTATGCTGAGTTGAACTGATGTCTTTCTGTGTACTCCTGACCTCACATAAGTCCTATAAATAGCCTTTGGGCAGTGAGGAGATTAGATGATTCTGTTTAGAGAAACAGTAGATGCTTGTAGACAAATTCTGCTATTACCTCACCAGATTTTGAAGGGTTTTGGTCAGAAACAACAACTCTGCTCCCATTTGAAAGGCTTAGAAATATGGCATTTTTCTAATGCTGCAAAACCCACATGTGAATACATGATTAGTTCTTAATTTATGCCTTTGAGGGGGGTTATTTGCTACTGGCTGGGTTTCAAATGTGGATAAAAATAGATTAGTTAGCTGTGCTTTTTTTTTTGTAGTCACATTTTCAGATTCCGATTTCTGCCTTCACACACACCCCCAATGTCATGTAAGAGTTTAGCAGTTAAAATTATCTTAGCAAAAAAGGTAATGTATTTGCTTTATTTTTGCTGAGAGGACTGAGTATGGAATGATCCTTTGCTTTGTGTAATTAACTATAATGACGTTTGGTTTAAGTGTTCTGTGACCTCAATTTTGCTTCTCTGAACTATGTAATATGTCCTAATTTTCCCTTATCTCCTTTCACCTTTACATAACGAGTGTCAAATCTGGTATTCCTGAGAGTCAGAAAAAAGATTAAGAGTTTAGGGAGGTCTTGAAAAAACTGATGCTACCAAAACAAGGAACTTGAACTGGACACAATTGTACTTTCTCTTATGCTGCAGGGGGTTAATTCACATGGTATCTCTGATGTTTCAATCCTCTTAGTTTTCAAGCTGTTCATCCAGTTGCCCTGGGGATGAGGTGAGAGAGAAAGAAAGATATAGGAATTCCTAGATTGCTGTTCAGAAACCAGTGATGCTTATGAAGAATAAGTATACTTATAAAGAACAATAATAATAAAAATATTTCAAAATCAAAATCATAAATCTCAACAAAGAAACCCCTACAAAAACTCGATCCCCCACCAAAAATCCCTTCTATCTTTCAGGCGTTTTTGTAACTGCTTATTTAGGTTATGATAGTGACTGAAAGCTCCAGCTTCCAGGAAGGAAAGTGCCATTGACTTAACTGGGGCAAAAACTACCCACCATGAGATTAAATTTCAGATATTTCACTTAGTCACTGTGAGTCTCAGTTCCCCTGTGCGTGATTCCGACTGACTGAGTTTAGAACTCATCCCCTAAAATTAACACCAGTAATGCTGAGCGTCACGTGACAGTCCACGCTGCTGAAAGCTCTTACCATGGCTTGTCTCCACCAGGGCAGATGATGTGGATGGAGTCCCTGCAGTGCATGCTCTATCTCTGCTCGCCTTTGCTTCGCACTTTGCACGAGCTGGAGGAGCGACAGATGCACATTGCAGACATTGCACCTCACGATGTGACCAGGGATTTGATCCTTCTCAATCAGCAGCGGCTGGCAGAGATGGAGCTCTCTAACCAGCTGGAGAGGAAGAAGGAGGAACTGCGGATACTGTCAAAGCACCTGGAGGAAGAGAAGAAGAAGACTGAAGCTCTGCTCTATGCTATGCTTCCCCAGCACGTGGCCAACCAGCTGAAAGAGGGGAAGCGAGTTGAGGCAGGTGAATGAACAGGATGCATTTGTGGTGTGTAATTCATGGGTCAGGAGATGGTGACAGAGACACTGGCACAGCCCCTTTGCCACTGCTGTGGAGCACATTCTCTGCTTGGTGACATTCATAGGTAGAAGGAGGACCACAGATCCTTAATCTTGCTGATAATGAAAAGATAGTCTATTCTTTCAAAGAAAGCTTTGGAAACTATTTACCAGATTTTTTCCTTAGGAGGTGAAAGGTGATAGCAGCTGCCCATTCAGTGAACAAAATTCAGTGTTTCAACAGTAATCCAAGATTTTGTTTTCAACATGGATATACAGGGAAACGAGGGCTCAGAAATGACAGGAATAAAGAAATTGGTCTTTCCTAGAAAATTCTCTAAGTTCCCCTATGTTACCTATAAACACAGAATCATAATGATTCCCATTGTTATTAAGGATAGCAAGAATATGCCTAAATTCCCTTTAGTAAGCACATACAGGGAGCTAGAGGTAAAGAGCTAAGTATATCCTGTATGTGATATATTCAAATGCCTGGATTGTTTGAGGTGTGTAATGATTCTTATATTTGATATACTCTTATATCAACATTTCTCCATCTCAGAACACTTGTATGAGTATTACAACTGACAGGTCGTGTCTTAAAAGAATGACCTTTGCAAACAAGTCTCAAACAGATGATATGATTGTCCAGCCATTACAAGTACTTACCACAGGTCTTTCTGCTCACAGGGGAGTTCCAGGAGTGCACTATATTGTTCAGTGATGTTGTGACCTTTACCAACATCTGTGCCCAATGTGAGCCTATTCAGATAGTTCTCATGTTAAATTCAATGTACCTGCGATTTGACAGACTGACCACGGTGCATGACGTGTACAAGGTATGTACGGACTGATAAAGGCTCTAGAAATAGTCTGGGAAAAAAGATTTTTGTTGTTTTGTTTTTTCGTTTTTAAATGCAATTAAGTCCTCTTCACCCTGGCATGGTTTTTTATAAACCATAAAATACTGCCTATTTGTAGTGGCCACACAAACTAAAAAACAGGTGATTAATTATGTTTAAATGTTTTGGACAGGAATGTAAGGTCTGTCATGGTCTAAAATCTCTTTCCACAACACTTATACCAGAATGGCTGTTCTTTCATACATCTCTCTCTCTCACCTTTCTCAAATAACTATTCAACATGACAGGATATCCTGGTTTATGGACTAATTTGAATAATTTTCTTAGTTCCTTTATTCCAACCTGTTGTAAATAGGTCACTATGTCATTAAGTGTCTCCTTTGGTGGAGAAATATAAAATTATAAACAATACCCAGATAATACCTAGACCTTTTTTTTTTTAATTTCATGGAGAACTTCAGCAGTGATATCGATCTCCTGCTGACCCCAAAGAGCACCGACTAGATCTAGACTATAATACACCTGTGGTCTCCAAACCATGCTGGAAGGATCAGAGCCCTGGTTGACCTAAATTGTCAGAGTTATTAACATCTCCAGAATTACCCAGATTTGATGAGCTGAAGAGCAGGTCCTAAGTTTCTGTCTGTCCCAAATACATTAAATATTTAGGAAGGCAGAAATAGTAAAGGGTGAAATCCAAATCTAATTCATTCCTTGTTCAGGCAAGGCACGCAGGTCATTCCACCATAAATTGTACTGGGAAATCAGAGGCATTTCTGCCTCAGCAAGGAAATTGTATTCAATAATTGAAGCATCCAGGATATGGCCCACAGATTTGAGGATAAATTAGCATGGTATTCTGTCTAAATCATCCATCATGAGTAAATGATCTGTCACTATAATAATCTCCTTTTGATGCCTGTATATAACTCCTATTAATATTGAAGGAGGTTACCAGGGTACAGAGGGGGAAGACAAGATTACTATTACAGGGAGTTGAGAACTGGAATAGTGAAATTGATTAAAGAAACTTGGCCCAAGCTTATAAACATCTGAAGTTATGAATAAATCTTCTTAAATTAAATCTCCTATTACAGCTGAAAAATAATTAGGGTATCTATTTGCATTAGTAGCTTTTTACAGTTGTTTTTAATTTGTTACAGAAAATTACTGTGGGTTTGGCTATCTTATAGAAGGCATGGAGAGGAACACATTCTTTGAGACTGATGTAGTGAACAGTTTTAAGTCATTAGGTTAGTGAACAAACCCAAATATTAAATTATGTTTCCACTGTCCTATTGATGTTCTTTTTTAAGAAATCCAGTTAGTCTAATCTAAAAGTTGTCTTGTTTACTGATGGTAAAATGTGACAGTGAAGTCTCGTAAGAGCAGTTTAGAAAATTTCCTCACCGTGTAACAATCTTCTGCAGCGAATTTTAAACATTTGAGAATTCTCTGTTTCAAACAGGCCTGTCCTATTCCCAGCAAAAATTCTGATACAGAGACAAAATCCAAAGTGTTTCTCAGGTCCTTTATCATGCACTTCAAGGAGACTGGATGCCTGAAGGAGTATGAACACTTCAACATTTTTGTTGCAGGCTGCAGCTGTTGTTGGAAAACAGCTGGCTGTAAGGAAGGATGCTTCCAAACTGCTTAGCTCACACTGCATTCTCTGACATCCTGGAGTTTGGAGGTTCCTTAAGTTCATGTGAACCCCTTAATCACCAGTGAATAGTCTCCCTTGCTTTATTGTGACTTTAAAAAAACAAATCTCTCTTAAATAAGAAATATGCTTTCAGCACTAATTGTGAATTAGAGCTAATTAATAGCATTAATCTATCAGATAACCTGGCTCAGGAGTCTGTGCCTGGGGATAGCCCTCTGCATATAGATCTTTCCTGGGTAAGAGGAAGGCAAACAGTCTGACACTTGCACAGCAACCCTTACTCCTTAGGGTCTCTCTCACTGATATCTAAATTTGGTCAAGTAAGCAGGGACACAGTGCAGTGAAATTTTTAGTGTGGAGTGAAGGAGAGGATCTCTGTCACAAGGAAACTCACCTGTGCTAAAGCTTTTTGGTGATTGAAACATCTTTTAGGAGAAGGGGGGAGTTGGTGCTGACCCTAGCAGCAAAACACTAACCTGAGTAAGATGTACATGGCATGCTCACGTGCTTGTCCCTCTCAATTAAAGGTGGAGACAATTGGAGATGCCTATATGGTGGTAGGTGGGGTCCCTGTGCCTGTTCCCACTCACGCTGAGCGAGTTGCTAATTTTGCCTTGGGGATGATAATTGCAGCTAAAGGAGTACAGAACCCAGTTTCTGGAAATCCTATCCAAGTAAGTCATTAATGCAAAGATGCATGTGTGTCTGTCTGCTTTTTGGGTTGGGCTTCTAGTTAATGTATTGCAGCAGGACCTCAAAGAGCTGCTTCTGACTCCTCTGTGACTTTGAACGAGACCCACACGGGTACATTTTCCATGAGGAGCCTCTCCGTGTGGAAATTTGATATCTTACTGGTGTCCAGTGTTGTGTTGAGATGAACTTTTAGGTGGCTGAATAGCATTAAGAAAGATGTTAAACAACAAGTGACATTTTTGGGGGGTGTTTTATGTCTTTGTAAAGATTCGAGTTGGGATCCATACAGGTCCTGTCTTGGCTGGAGTTGTTGGAGAAAAGATGCCTCGTTATTGCTTGTTTGGAGACACAGTGAATATTGCTTCCCGGATGGAGAGCCACGGTGTGCCCAGTAAAATACATCTGAGCTCCAGTGCCTATCAGTGAGTAACTGTGATGGAAACTTTACCTATTAAAATCAGTGCTAAAAACCATTGCTTTGACAGCTGCAGTGTAGATGGTGCTGCCTTAGTCACCAATTTAAGCAGGTTATAAAGGAAAATCAATGCTTGTAAAGAGTTTTATTTGTTCTGATTATTCCAATTGTACTTATATATGGGGACAGAGATTTGAGAGTCTCCATCCTAGAGAGCAAAATATTAAAAAAAATAATTGTGATAACTTAGTTGGAAGTCCTGATAAGGCGATGCTAGAAAAGCAGAACATTTAGAACATTTAATAATAAAAGCTTTAAAATCTCTCTAATTGAGCACAATAATTTGTAGAGAAACAGTTTTATTTACACTTACCAAGGATTAACTGCATAAACAACTATCCTCTTCATGCTGTGAGTAATTTACTTTCCTGAAACTCATGTTAGTAAAAATTAAATTTTCAAGAATTTTATGTATGTGTAAAATCTGTATGCAAGAGGGAGAAGCAAAGACAAACTGCAAAGGAAGGAGTACAACAACATTGTCTCAGGATATCACAGGAATGATACTGGGAAAGTGAGAGCTTAGCTAGCATTGAAATGGGCAAGGAAAGTTCAAAGGCAGTCAGGGGAGCTTCTGCTGTGTTAGCAGAGAAGTGTAAATGGAAATGTGGACCTGCTGTGGCAGGTGATTTAGAGACAGTGCCCTGAAGAAAGGCTGAGTTACTCAAGGCCTGTCTTGCCTCAGTAGTCACTGATGAGGTCTTCAAGGTCCCTGCACCAAGAGTCAGGGTTCAAGGAGTAGGTGAAGTACCAATATTGGAAGAGGATCAGATCAGGGGTCTTTGGAAAGGTATGGGAGCAGATGGGATGTGAGGTAATGAGAGAGCTGGGTGATGGCACTGCAGTGCTGCTGCCTGTCACCTTTGGAAGGTCAAGACTGTCAGCTGAAGAGAGACAGATGTTACAGCTCTGTGGAAAAATGGCAAGGAGGACAGGGTGTGAAACTATAGCTGATCATGCTCGTGTCAGTCCCAGTGAAAATCAAGTCCTCTTCAATCCATTTTTGGACACATGAAGGAGGCAATTGGGAGTAGCAAGTCTGTATGTAAAATGAAGTAAATCATGCTTGACAGACCTGATTGCCTTCTCTGATGAAACGACTGGAGATAATTCTGTCTAGCTGATATTGGCTGCCTCAGTCCTTAATTTCTGGTCAATAAGAACCCTCCACCACTCTGAAATATTTGGCTTTGTGATCCATTGATTTTTGATCAGGTCGTATATGTTAATATATAAAACCACAGCAGGCCTGAATAAACAGTTGAAACAAACCCTCAGTTGTTCACAAATCAAGACTTGTTTTTCCCAAACTGTTGTGATTTCATTACTTAGCTCTTTTAAAATATCAATGTTATTTTTGCTAATCTTGAATTTTCATGTGTCATTTTGTTTCTGATACTATAGGTGCCTAAAATACAAGAATTTCGAGATTACTGAGAGAGGAGAAATAGAAGTAAAAGGCAAAGGGAAAATGCATACATACTTCCTCATTAGAAATAAAACTGCAACTGAGAATGAGATTATGGGAAGGCCAATGAAAGACTTAGATTCTGGCCATGAATCTGTTCAATCTTTTCAAGAAGGCAGGACTGAAACAATACCAAGTTCTCATCAGCCAGGTAGGATCAACTTCACATATCTTTTCCTCCTTGACCAAATGAATGTTAATACAACACAATTAAATACCCTTTTCTGTTCTTCTTTCAGTTACTCAGACTCAGCCAGAGAAGGACCAGACCCCAGCTATTGCAATGAAGTATGTTGATGGTCCCACAGATGCCCAAAACAGCCTCCAAAGAAGAAATCAAAGGAAAATTGCAGATTTAACAGGTAGTTATTTAGTTATCATTTCAGAGACAACAGAACTAGGAAGTAACTGAGGCTTAATCTTGCAGGTTCTTTATATTCCTTTTCTGAATAACCATTGTTGTAACTCAAGCCAGAAATTCATGCCAACATATACACGTTGGTGAAACTAAACCCTTCTGCACACTGTTTAGGGTCAAACAAATTTCACCTTTGGAGCAATCCCAGGTGTTAATTGTGCACTAGGGAGAAAGAAGCTGACAGTGCTGTAAAACCCCAGAGCCCTTCTGGCAGTGCAAATAGAACAGATAAATGTTAGACAGCTCTTCGCATGGGCAGACCCAATTGTTCATGTACACATCTTTTCCTAGAAAACATGTAGTTATGGGGAAGCTTATCGAGTCAAGCCTGAGAAAGAGTGACCTCAGTCCTCAGGCCAGTCTCCTGCAGGAGTCGCAAGGATTTATTCCCATGCTCATGTTCTGTGACCAAAGTTTATCTCCTTTGAAGTAGCTGATACTGAGAGATAACAGATTTGATGCCATAACAGCCTAATCTAATGCAGCAAGTCTTGTAGTCCTATTTATGTGTTTTGTGGATTTTATACAGACTAAATATGTTGTCACTAATTACTAGAAAATATTTTACTCCTTTCCCTCCCACCTGCTTAGACATGGTAGTTAATCTAGTATATGATGTGCTGACAAACAGAAACCTCTATGGTCATTAAAAACTCACACTGCAGGAGTGTTTCCTTTCAGGCAAAACTTGTGATTCCAAAAGCGATGGGAGTCTCCATGGCAACCAGCATGCAGATGATGGTCCCCGTCCTCTAAACCAGGGAAGAGTCAAACCTGCTGCTGAAGAGCCACAGAACAGAAATGTTCGCTCTAATTTTTGCACTTTACTCTAAGTTTTTTAGTTTTACATTAAACAGAAAAAAATTATTATGATTTTCTGCATTTTGCTGTTGTGGGACTGTTTTTTTTATATCAAGCACCACGTGATTTTGTAAAAAAAAAAAAAAAGAAAAAAAAGAACATTTCATCACAGTTTTCAGTAAAAATAAAACAGTGGAGGTTATTTTTTTTAAACAATCTACACGTGCTGTATAATACTCCCACTGGAGAAGGAAACCCTTGCAAGATGCTTTGAAGATGTATTTTTCAGCTTCTGCCATGTCTTTGAATATCCCCGTGTAAAAAGCACTTTTTGGTATCTGATGCAGCAATCGAGAAAGGGGTGACTCATCCGGCTAGAAATATTCCTACTCAAATGAGCACTTGCCATAAAGGAAACATTCCCTGAAGTGACCATCTGTCTTGACTTCAGCACAGCCAACAACTTCCCCGTGGAAGGTTAGCAGAGTTTGATCTGCGTTTTAACTGTGATAACAGCTTAATCTCTTAACAGGTCTTTTGCTGGGCAAAGGAATTATGCAGTAGAAGTGCAGAATAGATCTAATACAACCTGTATTTTTGCATCCTGAAAGGAAAATAGCATGTACTTGATAGCATCCAACAGTAAAAAAAGCATCTGTGACCTTTGAACCAGCCGTCCATGTGTGGTGGGCGCAGAAGGACATGTAAATGGTGGAGTTATGTAGCATCAAATTTGTCACAACACTGGAGGACTGCTCAAGGCCTGTGCACTATTTGAGACCTTCAGATGAGTTTCCAGTTTATTACTCATTTTGTCAATCCAGCTAAACAAAAGTAAAGTTTCAAGACTGCAGAGGGAGCCTGTCAGTGCTGGAACTAATGTTGCTAACGTCATTGAGAACAACAGCGTTGAAGATCAACATCACTTACCTGGTGTCAGAGGCTGCTCAGCTGAATTACTTCCATGCTGATATATTCTTAGATTATGCCTGATCAGAAATGGCAGAGAAAAATTGAAGTTCAACTGTCAGGGATTTCAGACACAGGAGCAAAAATACAATGGATATAACAGCTGTGGACAATTCAGTGCATCATAAATTGTGCTCTCACTCCTATAAATGGAGCTTGGACTAGGTGGGTGACTTTGACAGGAGATGCATCCTGCACACTGATTTATTACCTTTGGGCTTGGATTCCTTGTCTAAGGGTGCCAGCGTGAGACCAGTTTGAACTTTGAGCAAGAACTCACTGGAGAAGGTGGTTGCTCCTCTGTAACAGTCTGGAGCATCATATTTCCACCTCTGTGTCCACGGCAAGAGCGAGGCTCTTTAAACGCCAGATAGAGGTAAGACTGATGAAAGGCATCTCCTCCTCTTTATAGTATAACAAGATGAAATTTCACCTGGTTAGATTTTTTTTTTTTTTTTTCAAATCTCTGAGACAGTAGCTCCCTAGTCTGGGTGCTCTACAGCTCTGTCTGCAGGAGCAGACCACTAGAGGAGGATGCGTAGAGTGAAACCATCAGTACTGTTGTCCAAACTACAAGTATTTCAGAGGGTTTTCTGGTGTGGTCCCATGCACTGAATACCTGCTAGCTGTTGGAGCACCTTATAAGCACATCCTCTGACTTAGTTTCATCCAGAAAAGATCCATTTTTTTGCTCTGAGACCACTCTACAATGTGAAACAAAGTAAGGTAAGTGGGTTTGCCCAGGAAATTCACTCAGGAGTGTAGTCCTGACTCTGATTGAAATGCTGTTGTAGGCACACCCTCCAACAGGAGCACTTTCCACCGTACAGCTGAGCAGCACTGTTCATGGAGAATGCAGTTTTATGAATGGCAAGCTTTTTTATTTATTTGGATTTTGCTATCTGGGCATTGTTCATTCTTTGGCAAGGGAGAGATCTACTGTAGGTTGATGCTGCATCTAAGGATTATAATTGTTAAGTTGGGGATCAAGATTTCAAGCATTTGACTGTGTGTTACCCTCAGACACACAATATCTAAATTTCACCTTCATCCTCAGTAAGTCCTTCCCCCTGTTCATGGATTTGTGCTCTTGTATTACAACCGTAGCTTTAAAAAGACTTTCCTAAAGAGAGATAATACCCAATTTCTCTCTCACAATGACACAAATGTGAAATAACAGTTAAATCAGCACTATCCCATTGATTGAAGTCTAGAACCATCTCTGATGAGAGTCTTTTGTCTCCAGCCTAGAGACATGTTTCACTACTCTTGACTAGTTGTGCCAATGGAGTGGAGAACATGTCATTTAACAAATGGCAGTGGTGGACTCCATCATTATTGGCATTCACTATGGAAATATAAAGCTACTTTAGTCCCAAGCCCAAGTGTGACACAGGACTTTACATCTCTCAGTGTCCAGTGCTCGTCCAGGAGGGAACATCCTGCTGTCTCAGCTGCTCTTGCAGTCCCACACCTGCATGGCTGAATACCACTGACCACCTCTCTGAGAAAAGGAATTTCTGGTCAGAAATTGTCCAACAAGCCTGACCATCAGTGAGTAGGGTTTAGTATATATTCTGGGGTTTAATATAGATATATTAAACTACAGAGTAGTTTTAGGTAGAAGCTCAGAGCTCCTCTGAACTTGTATGGATCCTCCTGGGAAGAAGAAAGAAAAGGACCATGGTGTAATTGCTGCCAGCATCTCTCTGTCTTTTAACACTCGCTTTGCTTATACCTGCCCTTTTTGCACTGAACCATCTATGGTTCATATTGGAATGTTTTAATTGCCATTGAGTGCTCCATGGTAAGTTACTTCATGCTGTACTGTGGTAAAAATGATGTGCTAAGTGATTTCTTTGTGGCCTCTGCTACAATCTGGTTCTCCTGGAGATATAGAGCTAGGTCGAATCTGCACAGCTGCTTCTGAAAATTCATGTGCCTGTGTATCATTATGTGTTCTTAAATCTGTGGGCACTGCTAAAGACTGCAAAAATATAATTAAAAAATAAATCCATTAATATACCAACTGCTATTTCTCAATGACTACTTTGATTCCTGTCCCTCTTTTCCTTTCCATCTTTTCTGTTCTTTTTTCCCCTTTAAGTATATGAAAGTTAAAGACCATTATACCTCTAATAAATGTCCAATGAGTCTAATTTCTTGACCATACACAAAGTTGTATCTGTTTGTGCAACATCAGCACCCCACTACCTCTGACATGCTTACTAGTATGCATTCTTAGTGTCAGTCACCTACAGTGAACTGATGTAAAAAGTGTGGGAGAAGACAATTCCTACTATTGCTTCATGGAAGCTGAGGCTCAGAAAAATTAAGAGTTGAAACTTTTGAAAGTTGTCTAAAGCATATGGATTCTAAAATCACATTAAATCTGGTGTTCAAACATTATTTGTCAAAAGCTTGGGTACCTAAAGGTCCAGGGGCCAGATTCTCAAAGACTGTTTGTTACTTTGCTAAGTGAAATCAACTGGATTTAGGTGCTTAACTGAACACATATGCTGTATCTCGTTTCTGACAATGATGTTTTCTTTAAAACATTTAGAAAACGCTGCCCTGTAATGCCTTCTAACATGGGCTGTTCAGTAAACTTTCCAAACTGGAACCTCGTTTACTGGAAGTCATTAATTTGTTACATCTGATATTACAATGCAACTCTCTATGGACCCAAGCTGAACATAAAAATACACAAATAAAATAGCAGTGAAATTGAAATTACTACTTCAGTGGTGAGAATATATTAAAAGTGTACTTGAATATACAAAACATGATGAATTGCAAAATGAAAAAAAGGAGCACAGGTTTTTATACAAATATACAACTTCATGGAAAATCTAGAAGGGATTTTTTTTCCACCAGGTCTCTGCTTTCACTTTAGGAAACTGAAGAGTTTAAGATCAGACAAGGAGATGAAAATCTTCCATAAAGTTATCAGTACAAACATCTACTCTTCATGCGTTCTCTATACAAAATTCAATCATCAGTTCCCTCTGTACATAAAGAAATAGCAATGTGCAGTATTTGATTCCATAAATACTTGTAATCAAAATAAAATGGGACACTATCTTTACTCATATGACTAAAACTAACAAGCACTGTTCATTTTTTACAAGCTATCTCTAGTTCTCTCTCACGTATATTTTGCACCTGTTTCCTGATTTTCTGCTAGTGATTTTTGATCCGAGCTGTGCTGAGAAGGCATTCCTGAAAAATTCTGATACTCACAATTCTTCCTATTTTGGCTTGGTGTACAGCCTTTAGTCTCCATCTGGGTAAACACACCACGCCAGAAAGAGATTTGTAGTCACATTTTCATACTGATAGGTACTTAACGCTCCCCTGTGCTCCCTTAGAGGTGAACCTCAAATGAACATGAACAGTCATTGCCAAGGTTTGCAGAAATTCAGGGTGACATTAACTGACTCTCTAATGCTTTCTTAACTTTGCTTATTAGTACTGTGAAGTTTGAAAGTTATACCTACAGAGAAAACCTCACAGGCTGCTTAGTAGCTCTTACTTTGTCATTTGCATCAAATACTTTCCTGTCCGCGGAATCAGCAAACACAAGCAGCGACAAAGATTATGATTTCTGCGGCAAACACATCAAAACCAGCTTCAACAGCCTGTTTACATCAGTCCTGAGGTAAGGGGTCCTTGAAGTGTGTTGCTCAGAAGCACTGTGTGGAGGTACCTTTGCTTTGTGTGGCTTCATCACAGTGTATGGGCTTCCAGCCGACTTTGCCACGGCTTCCATTTCCGTGCTGAATGTCGGGCTGTGACCCGAAACACAGGCTGGGTGATGCTCTGTGGGCATCCTGCCAAAGCGTTTTGCAATAGAGGAACCTGACACACAGCTATCATTTAAGGCCAGTTTATCTCAGGGAATCAATAGCCCTTTAAAAATTCACTGGCTCACATATCGTTTTCAGCGATGGTCATCAGAGGTTTTGTGCTCTGATTTTCCGGGCTTTTGAGGGAACTTTGCTTTTCAGCACATGGTGACATATGCATTGGTAAGAGGAAACTCACAGCCTTGACTTTACCCCTGGAGAAAAAAATGAAAAAGCATTGTGAGGATTGCAAATGTATAAAACATGCAAAGAAAGTTAAAAAAAAAAACTCCAAGCAACCCAGCAAGCAAACGCTAAATGCTTTCAGCCCTTGCGTGCTGCATGGAGGCAGGATTTCATGCCATTCACAGGCTTCCCAAAGGACTAAGCACAGGGCTGCCTGCCTGTGCTGCCTGCCTGTCTGCTGGAAGCATTCGCTTTCTTCCATGGAGTCTCACATCTGTCTATCAGTGCCCAATGTGTGTGTGCAAAGCTGTGTGCACACAGAACCCTGAGGGTGCACATGCACCCCCATGGATGCGGGGGGTTCCTCTAGTGGCTTGATGTTTATATGCATCAGCACCCAGCTACTGCCAGCAGGTGTGAGAACAGTGGTTTCCAAGTGTGCACATGGTAAATTACACCAGAGGCAGAAACGTCTTCCTTTATGTGTCCCAAAACAGGTTGGTTTGGCATGTAAATTGGTTCAGTTTTGCAGAGCTTTGGTTGTCGTTCTGATTGTCCTCTGTGATGCTTGTCAGCTCACTCAGGCGCTCATGGAGCACAAGGAAGGAAAATTATGACAATATTAAAATATTTGGGATGGTTACAGGGCAGAGGACCTCCATGATTTCCTTGCCCCTTCTCCCCTGAGACCTGTCTCACTGGAAGGTGAAACCACCAAACCTGAACACCCCAGTGGTGACATTTGTACCAAACAGGCCTTGTACCTTTTGTGATTTTACTATAATAGCCCTGAAAACAGTTCTCATCTTCTCTAATCCTACATTCAAATATTTAACGGTTTTTATTTATGAAACACAAGAGGAATCCCTTGGTATAAATAATACTTTGGCATAGGAATTAAAATATTTTAAACATGCCAATTAGCGATGATTTGTTAGCAGTGCTGTTATTACTTGGATACAACTGCACTGTATATAAATTCAAGGTGATACTTCTACAGAGTTAATTTTAAAGCAAAAAAATTCAGCATCGAATACAGGATTATAGCCTTGGAGCAAAATGTGAGAAAGCTACAAGAAGAATAGGAAAACCTGACATGAAGCAGCATGCTGGGAAGCAAAAATGTCATCCCTGTAAAAAATTAACCTTAATAAGCTTGCTGAACTCATTGCTAGAAATTATCCTACTAGTGAAAAGTTAACTAAGATTGGTGTCTGTGTTAGACCATTGGGGATGTAATGGAAGCATCCACCACTAAGACTAAAAAAGATATTAGATTTTTTTTGGTGTAAGAAACACAGAGTTCGTGCTTCAGGATATTACGCAGCCTACTGAGGGCATTTGGTAAAAAGCTCCTTCTGTAGCTGTTTCTTCTCCTAAAGCAGCCAGCAGTGAGAGGACATGAGTCACGGTGCCACACTTGTTGCTGTTCAGCCTGGCAAGGCAGCTCTAGTGGTGGAGATAAAATCATCAGCACCGTCCTGTGGCCACGGGGTAACCAGTAGGTCCCAAGGCAATAGATGTAACAGATCTGTGCTGCTATTTGGATTGCTTTGAGAACTCTTTCCCTTTATGAGCAAGCAGCAGGATTTGCCGTTGCAATTCTGCTCCTGCACGCTGACCCTGTGTTTCCCACCACACACGCCTTCCACGTGAGCCGGCTCAAGGGCAAAGCTCTCAGAGCGTTCACGTGCACAGAGTCTTGAGTTTCCCTGAGCCCAGTGGAGCGTATGCAGAAATCCAGAGCTGCAGGGTCATGGTGCTTTTGAAAATGATATGAGTTCACTGCCAGGGACTAAATTTAGGTGTCTAAATGCTGTAAAACATCTGACCCTGAAATGTCCTTAACTAGAAAACCCAGGTGCCTCTGGAAGCTTGGTCTCGTTGTCCCTTGCAGGCTCTCAGAGAGGAGCTGGGCTCCGAGCTGCCTTTGCACAGGGAGTGCAAGGGGCTGGGCACTGGTCTGCTCTGGGGACATATTGTTAAAGGGGGTACAGAATAAAAGCTGTTGTGGTGGGCCATGTGGACAGATACAACCACACAGGTGACACAACCCACTGCAGGTGTACAGCCCATGAGGGTGGCCACTGGAGCCCTTCCCCAGGACACGCAAAGGCAGACCCATGGACTTCTCCCTGCTCAGACACATGCTTTGAGGCCATTTGGATTATATGGCTTTTGAACACAGCATGGTCAGGCTAAACCCAGGAATTGACGTGGATTCCCAGGGTGGACAGATCAGCACCAGGAGGTGACTCAGCTATCATATCTCACAGTCTCATTACTGCTGCTACTAGCTTTAGTTGTTGTCCTGTGTTGGAAATCTTCTCATCAATGATCAGAGGAGCTCAGGGCTTGTCCAGCACCCTGTCACTTAATTTAGAAGCCGTCTTGAGACTACTTTTCTCAAAGCTGGAGGCATTAACTTGTAATGCTTTAGTTACAGGGGAAATACAATACAGTACATCTAATTCCATGAGCCATAGTAATCACACTTCCAAAGGCATAGTTCAGAGTTCCCCAGTATCTCCATGCTTTTTTTCCCAAGTTTAAAAATCCCTTTCAAGCTTAGCTTGTCAGAACATCACATCAATCTGCAAAATTCTGCCTGGCTTTAACAGTGTGAAGATTTCAACCCTTTTCTCTCTCCCTTAGCCTCTCCTTTCTATAGCAAATTTAACCTGTTACCACTGCCAAACTTCATACATTGCAAGGAGGAGCTGGACAACTTCCCCCAAAGAAGTATCCAGTCTGCTCAATATACATTGAGTCTATACATGCAGTCTGCCCATATACATTCAAACAAAGATTTTTCTGATAACAAACTAAGACCCAGAGCAATGTCCATATATGTTGTTAGAGCTGTGATGCTGTGAAGGCAAACCAAGCCTACCTGCACCTATAGACGTGCTCCTGAAACAGCTTCATGTTCCTGGAGCGGCTGTAGGAGGAGCAGCAGCTGGATGGTGATTTTTCAAGCCCTTTCTCCTCTTCCCTGATGAGCTGTGCTGCAGCAGGAGGGGCTGGTGGCCAGGCACTGCCTGGCACCTCTGGGAGCCCATTGCTTGAAGGCTTCCTGCTGGCCCTGTGGGACCTGGCACTGGAAGGAGCAGGAGCTGGTGAGGTGGGGGGGTAGCGTCTCACAGTCATGGCAGTATCTGAGAAACAGAGGAAAAAGCAGAGCTGGAAACAGTAATTCAGATATCCTCAATATATTTTTGGAGAATGACTTTTTACATTGGCAGATAGTGACAGAACAAGGGGGAACAGTTTTAAACTAAAAGAGGGGGCATTTAGATTGAATACTAGGAGGAAATTCTTTACTGTGAGGGTGGTGAGACACTGGAAGAGGTTGCCCTGGGAAGTTGTGGATGCCCCATCCCTGAAAGTGTTCAAGGCCAGGTTGCATGAGTCTTTGAGCAACCTGGTCTAGTGTAAGGTGTCCTTGCCCATAGCAGGGAAGTTTGAACTGGATGATCTTTAAGGTCCCTGCCAACCCCAAATATTCTACCATTCTATTTTGAATCACTTTCTTTGGGCTCAGAAAAGCTTTGTATGTGGTGAGGCTGAGAGGCAGAGAAGGCCAGACAGCCCCCTTTGGGTTTCACTCTTTCCCCTAGAAGGCAGCTGAAGAGGAAGAGCTGCAGCTTTCCCACTTGCCAGAACTCCAGATTGCTATTCCCAAACTGATGACATCTATGGCCACCAGCAGCCCCGGTTTAAGAGGCCTTCAGGTTGGTAACCTGGCCACTGGGTCAGGGGGCTTGGCAGCAGCCACCTGGCTTCACATCAATCCACTAGTGCTGTTCAGCCTCTCATTTTATTCATTCACACAGATTTGTCTCTGTGAAAACTTGTGGGGCCATTTCTCCGATACTTCTCACCAAACAACATTTTGCTTAAATTCCTGATTCATTAAATCCTCCAGAAGTCACAGCTAGACTTCTCTAACGGAGGAATATTTCTGTTTTTCTCCTCTGATAAAACTGTGAAGAGTGTGTATTCCTGTATATTGGCCCCTCTCTGTCTCAGCCAGAACTGCGTTATCTGCAAAACTAAACTGCACATCTGGCATGATGTATGCAGCCAACTCATCATTATTTGTTATTATTTGTAGCATTTTTCTCATCTTTTACTAAGGCAAGAGAGGTTATGGCATGGTTACAACTGCTGGCCCTTTTCTGCCTGGAGCAGAGAGGGGACAGGCATGGTCAGGATTGTCCATGCCTGTGAAAACCCAAAGCAGTAAGTCAAATTCTCCTTAAATAAAGAAAAACTGAACTCCTTGAGTTGGATCCTTTGTTTGAGCAGCAGTAAAATACTCCACTAAGCTCAGCATGGGGGATGCAGGTAGCACCCTAAAAAGACCACAGAGCAAGACACCTAGTTATGGTGGGTTGAGGTGCGAGCACAGAAGGCGGCCAGAGCACTTTCACGGAGCTGATCAGACAGACAACCAGCAGCTCATCCCTCACTCCCTGCAGACATGTAACAGCCAGGCTGGGAGATCCTGCATGGGCAGCACTCACGGGTGCCATGGACAGCCCCAGACAGCCCCGACTCGTTGGTACCTGTCTGCTCCTTTGGTGCTGGAGCAGGACTGGCTGGGATGGCTCCCTGCAGAGATGCTGGAGAGCCAGCAGGTCCTTCTTCATCCCTGGCGAGGCTCCTCACATCGCTGTTCCCACCTCCTCTCGCTGCCTCTCTCTCCGGTGGCACAGCTCTCTGCCCGCAGACCTGCAGCTCTCCCTTTAGGGCCCTGTTTTCCCTCTCCAGCTTGTTGATTTGGGAACGCATCTTGCGGATGACCTGGAGGAGGTGTGCATTGCCCTCCATGGTCCCACGCCACGCAGAAGGCTCCCTGCTCTCCCGCAAAGTGCCTGCCCTGCAGACAGGCAGGCAGACCCTGCCCTTAAATCCTCTGGACAATGGGAGTCCCTCCCCGCATGCCCAGCACGGGCCAGATCTGAGCGCTGAGAGGGCTGGACCGAGTTGTCAGGTTACTGAGAGAGGGCTCATGATTTATTCATTCGGGGGCTCGAGTTTCAGAGCAGCGCTGGCCTCTTACACCCCGCACAAATCACTGTCAACGCGGTATTGATGCACCATCGGAAACCCGCCCGCCCCCTCGCTTGCCTCGGGCTTTGGTCTTCTCCTCATGTACCAAGGAGGACAGAGCCCATTTCCTTTGGTTTATCTAAAAAGGCCAGTGATCGTCTCCACAGAACAGAGGGAGGGTTGCCCTTTGTGGGGCAGTGATTCCTCTCTCCTTTAACACAGGGTAAATTACTCTTTTTCGCTCTTTGCATCTGGAAAAGAATTAGCAATTTCTCACAGGAATATTAAATTTCCAAATGAAAGCTGATATAGTGCAAGACCCCCACTATTAACAACATATGCCAACAGTGGTGATGGACACTGTGCACTAAAGCTGTGCACTAAAGCTCTCCTGGAAGGCTGCAGCAGAGCCCAGGCCCTTTCTGGGCACTTAGGGAGGCTCAGTGAAGTGGAGCACCTGCACCAGCATCCCAGGAGTGTAACAAGAGACAGATCAGGCATGATTCTTGCATTAGAAAGAGAAACACAATCCTCTGTGCTTCTCTCATCACCTAGTCCCTAAAACCATCTTTCTGCTGGCAATAAAATGCAAAAACATGTGGAACATTCTTCCCACTCCCCAAAACTTACTTCAAAATACAAAACTGAGAATGCCAGAAAGTCAGCAGGAAAATAATTTAACACACCTTCTGCTTTGAGGATATTCCCAATACCTCAACAGTGACTCAAGAATATTTTAAAGAGAAGAAAAGACCTTTCAGCTGTGTGCACTTCCCCGCTCTGCTGCTGAAGGCTGGGGGAGGAAAGAAAAACTGCTGTGAGATGCTTTAAAAAAGAGATGACTCAGTTTTATTTTTTCCAGAGGGTGTGCCAGAAGGGCTATCATGAGGAAGCCATTGGGTCTATGAGGAAGTGCTGCTGCCCAGCAGCTACTGGGATGTTGGGAAGAAACTGCTGGAATTGAGAGAAAACCAGAGATGGGAGTGAGGAGCTCTGCCCTGGGGTATATGTCCCCAGGTGGGTAATGCTCCCTTCTTGGAGCAGCATCCTCAAAAAGTGCTTCATAAGGACAAAGTGGTTCCTGCAGGTCATGCTGTGCTCCCTCCCCTGCTGACCCACATGCTGTGCCTAACAAGGACAGGTGGGACTTGCTGTACAACCTGCAGGAATACTCACCTGTGCTGATTTTTCCAGTGACACAGGCACAAGGCTGGGGATCAGGAGCCACGAGAGTTGCTGGTCACCTCCTGGGAACCTCTCCAGAGGGCTCTCCATAGTTCAGGCTGCCTGCAGAGGGGTAAAATGAATGTGAGTTCTCAGGATGCAGATGAAGCCCACAGCACCCACGACCTCTCATGCAATCACTATGCGAGGGGAGGAGCAAATCAGGCCCTGAACATTGTCCTGCCTGCTGCTGGACTGGCACGCCGGGCTGTCTGGGCCTGCCTTGCCAGCATTAACCTTGGCAGAGCTCCTGGTGGGATGTGGCAGTCCTTGCTTCAGCCCACCCTGATCACATCAGCAAGAGGCCTCAGCTTACGCTGAGTTTTTATCTCCCTCCTAGAGAGGTGCATGTTGTTGTGGGCATGACAATATACAGATGGGAAGAAGCAGGCAAAGCTGGGCTTAGAAAAAGTCTTCACCCAGGCTTCAATAACAGTGTGGGTGTCCCTGTGCTGGGGACAATGCGTAGTGACCATTATGGGTCTATTTCTCCAGCAAGCAAATCAGGTACTGGAGCAGTGACAGCACCCAAGTGTAGTTATAATATTGCTGCTGATCCTGCAGCAGGCGGGTTTGGCTGGGCAGGGGACACTTGCCGACTCAGCAATTAGCTTACCCCTGCTGTAGCTGAAGACATCTGCTCCTCTGATCCCACACCTGCTGCTCCTCTGGAACTGGAGCAGGCACAGACCTTTTGATATAACAGGAACTTCTGAGGAAATGGCTTGTAACCTCGTACAGCCGCTCCTGCTGCAACTCCTGCCCAGGGATGGATGGGCAGGGGGCCAGATGACTCAGGAGTTTTGGACAAGGGAAACCTGGCAAAGCTACCTTTGTGACTGGGCTGATTGGTGTGTTCCCTGTAAGCAGAAAGAGCTCTGTGAACACAATCTTGTTTTTGTAAATTCAGCAGGGTCCAAGATGTGTGCTTGCCCTACCAGCTCCCAGGTGCTGCCACTCCATGTGCCACAGGTGGGAAACGTCCTCAATACCTCTTAGCAGTGGCACACTTGCAGGCTGCAGATTTTGGTTGAGTGTATCTTCACTGTGCCTTTCTGTGCCTACTAAAAACATCTACAGCTGTGTGGTTTTTGCTGTAAAACACTTCAACTTTAAATAATTTAACAGAAAGGCCAATTTCTCACACCTGAACTGCTTCAGCAAATTGTGCGTGGTAAGACATGGACCTGGGTAAAATTGTATTCACCCTCAGTCATATCTGAACATCTCCACTAGAAAGAATAACCAAAGACAGAGTTCCTGGCAGCTGTTGGACTCAAGGAACCCCATAGCAATATCTCTATGTGGCTGCTCGTGCATGTGCTCAGTGGACTGTACGAACTGCATACCAAGCAGTACTGCAGCAGAAAACCTGTGAACACAACACAGAAGCCTTCTGGAGCAACTTCATGCAAAACTGTGGGGAGCTCAGCTCTTTATGCTGCCTCTGCTTGATATTCTGCAGCTCCCTGCAGAAGGGAAGGGCTGTGCTGAGAATGGAGAAGGTACAGTGTGAGAACTGCCATCAGCAGAAAACAGCACCTGCACAGCCACCACCAACAGTGAACAGTTTTTATAATCATCTCACTTACCAAATCTTCTGTCTTGCTCCCCAGAGGTTAGAGAGAAAAAAAACACAAAAAGGACTCATTTCTACTCTAGTGAGATGATTTTTTTTCAATCAAATCACAACACTTTGTCCTTGAAAAATCAACAGCAGGTGTAGGGATACTTTCTATGACATAGTGCAGTGTGTCATGCCTCCCAGTGGCAAGGGAGTCCCTGTGGAAAAAGACAGAGCTAAACCTGACCAACAGAGAGCACAAGTACCAGGCTTCTGCTGCCACAAACATGCACAAAATCAGTGCTGTGACACCCACACTCTGCACTAGGGCAGCAGGGACTGCTGAGGCTGCCCCTTCCCACCACATGTGCCGAGCAGAGCGTGGCTGGGCTGTCACAGACTTTAGTCTTTAGGAGGAGGAGATGGACAAGATTGAATGTGGCTGGAGGTGGAAAGGCTCTCTCTGTTACTATTGAGCAATAAACAAACACCCTTCCTTTTTGCCTGGCAACATACTCCTCCTAACTCACAGATTTCCATCCTGATGGTGCTCTGCTTTCCCTCTGATGCCTCTGCTGCACCTTCACCCCTGCCTACGACAAGGCACCACATCACACTGGTCCCTATGGCATCTTGACTGAGGACCAGCAATGCTGCACTGCATCTCCAGCCTCACTGGGATAGGATGGGGGAGCAGCAGAGCAGCCCCTTGGCCCAGACAGGAAATCTTGGGGAAGAGAGATGGCTCACAGCTCCATCATCCTGGCATCAAGCCTGAAGCCCAGATCTCTGTCAGGGCTGGAGTCTCCAGGGGAGGTTTGCTGTTATGAGTCTTTAATGTCAGCAGCACTGGATTTTTGCATCCTATAAAAAATGACCGAGCAAAAGCGTAACAGCAGCTCTGGTCAAGGTCTGTGCCAAACCCTTCCTATGGCCACTGTGCAAGAAATCCCTGTGACCTGAGTCCTTGCTTGATTTCTGACATGTTTTACACTTCGTTGTGGTGCAAAAGAGCCTAATTCTCTTCTGAATTTGACTGTACAACTTAAGGAGGTAAAAAAAGAATATTTCAGTTGATTTAAAAATTAACAAAAAAAATGGGTTTTGTGTGCTGATTCTTTTTTGCTGATGCACTTCTCATCATTTTGCTCCTGTACATTTGAAAGGACTGAATAGGTCTAATGCCAAAATTTGATCCCATATTTACCTTCTCCTTGTTTAATTCTCAGTGGCTTCTCCATTTTAATGGTAAATTAAGAGGTAAGTGGTAAATTTAAGAGGTAAATTCATATATTTTCCAATTTTCATTTCTCCCTTTTCATTCTTCTCGAAGTTTAGACATTTAGACATTGAAATTATCCCTATGCTTTACTTGGCCAGGACTGTTGCTTGAGTTTTAGCATCAGGTTTGAGATTGATGCTCGTATCAAATGTGTTGTCTTCCATGCACTCAAATTTAACAGCTTAAATGTGTTGGGACATGTGTCACAGTCTGCAAGGCCTTTGCTCACCTGAGCCCTGCATGCTGGCAGCCACATCAGTGTCCCCAGAGGTGCTGCTCTGCTAGGCCAGGTCACAGCTTGTTTTGAATGCATTTCATCTGCAAATGCTCAGCCATGCAAAGAAATGCATCCTTCTTGTGAGGAAAGGATTTGACAGAATAGATTTTGCAGCACAAATGGGAAATGTTCTAATAACTGGATAAACAGCTCAGCGTCTAAAGTTTGCTGGTCACGTCTGTGTTTAATAGTTTCCTAATGTGCACTGGCCATGGACTCTCCAGTGCCCAGCCTGCCTTCACCCAGCCAAGAGGTACATCCCTGTAGGGCCACTGCTCTTTCCTCAGGTCAGTCTGGGCTCCTCCCAGAGCTGAGTTTCCACAGTGAAGGCAGGTACAGAAACTCATACCAATTTCTGCAGTAGTGCCTCAGGCTTTCACCAAGGCAATCAGCTAATTATGTGCTGACTAGATTCATTCTGGGGCTGTTGG